TATATTTTAATAGTAAACTGTACTGTTTTCTCAATCACTGAAAGGCAATACATCGTACCCATCAATAGTTTGCAATTTGCAGACAACTTTTGTATAAAGGAGATGGCAACTTTAACATTCATTTCTTTGTTAAATCAACACTCCTCGATCCACAGTGCGTACTGCAGGCCATCGTACTTATACTGCTCTGTTTGGTTTGTTTTCTCCCCAGAGAGTCATAGCGGAACAGTTCCTGAAGGATGCTTTGCTCCAAGAATGCTACGGATCGAGAGGCGTAATCATCCCGAAAGTGCCTGACATTGGTTGTGGATCCACGTCCTGCTTGGCCCAGCTCCGATGTTCCCTCTTCCAAATGTACAAACGTTCTGGATGCTTCCTCGGCTTTGGGCGAAGAAGGCAGGAGGAGAACAGCACAGCCAATCATTTAGATTCCTCGCTGTCTGACGAACAGGTGGACAGGATACTGCAACTGGTTCGCTTCGATAGATATGGCTCCGAGTCGAAACTGCGTGAAGAATGCGGTGGGTTTGATACTCCCAGCAAAGAATTAGTTTTGCGCAGCTCTTTTGTCTCGGAGGGCAGCGGCCGGAAACGATGGTCCCCTGAGAGGTCATGGTACAGAAGCAAAAGACAGCCAGATTCTCTCGGTCGTGCATCCGTGCATTGCAACAGGATTCCCTGCATTCAGGAGCCCTTGGGGGATTTGAAACTGTGGAGTCAATTTCCCCCCAAAGCTGTCGATGCTGACAGTAGACTGAAATCTCTGAAAAAGAGAGGAGGGTTTTACGACGATTTACATTCTCGAGTCAAGAAGGAGTACTCTTTCATTTTGCCGTACTTGCGGGGAAATCACCAGAAGCAATTCTTATCCAAGAAAAGCATTAAGATCCAACCACTCGAATTATTTGAATCTCCTTCAGATTATGCCACCTGGATCAAAGAGAATAAAAATAGAATAGAAGAGAGAGTTGAGAGCTCACCGCCTCCTGAACAAGCTGTTGCGTTTCAGTTAGTTGGAAGAAAATCTCCTGGAAGGGACAAGCAGCTCGGTCAGCTGATCAGTCCAGATCTGAGAACAACTCCAGGCTCGAAGGAAACCGATGGCAGAAGGTCAGCGCCCGCGTCACCAGTCGGACTCGGTGCCCCTGCTAAAGAAACGGTGCCCACTGTCGATCGGCGTCTCAGTCGCACGCGCGCTCAAAGAATAAGGTCAAAATCTGTCGCTCGAAGCACCAACAGTATTTTAAAAAACAGGACTGGAAGCGACTCTCCGAAAAAAGGGCGATTGCTTAAAAGCAATTCCTCCGCCTCGCTTGGCAAATCTGTCAAAACAAAGAAAGTTGAAAATATCAAATTAAATGACATTACAAGTTTGCCGTTACTGGCAAAGTTTGATACACGCGCTGTTCATGGAAAGGAAAGAGAAGTACGTGGCCAGAATAGAACTGCGAAGAAACCACCTACCCCTTTGAACAAACCCCCAGCTGTTCTTATGAAAAGGACAAGAACAGACACATCACTGGGAGACAAAATCGCACAAAACAGGGCAGATGATGGTAAACACTCTTCTAATGGTCTCGTGCCATATGGTTCGACTGCTGATGACAAACCTCAGGGAGACATTGTTCGGAAAACGACTCGGCAGTCTCCTGTTCATAGCGAACAATCTTTCAAAGGGCTCAGCGTGAAAGCGAGAGGCAGATCTTTGTCACCTAGGAAAACAAGGTCTCCGTATATGAGCAGGAATAGATCGTTTTACGTCAAGCATTCACGAGATCGAAGCACTCTGGCTAGTCCTCTAAATTTGGGCACTGGAACTAAACCTCCATTAGCCAGGGACACGTCGTCGCCTCTTGTTCTAAACAAACCCAAAATAGGACCCAAAGAACCAAATTCGTCCAACGTTCCTGTAGACACAACAAATACGCAGGGAGCCCACGCTCGCTCAGCTAGCAAAGAATCTGCACGCTCTTTCAGCAGAAGCAGAAGTAAGGACAGAAAATTGAAACCGAGAAGATATCTCAAAACGCCGCTACCACCTAAACAATCAAGAGCGGTCGCTGATGCGAAGGGTGCAAATCCTGCAGGAAGCAAAGCGACAGGCCAAGGCAGTGCGAACATCACCAGCAGGCCTAGTAGTCGCCAATCCGTTTTTACACAGAGAGGAAAGGTGAAGACACTACCATTGAAACAGCCACAAGCCAAATCACCGATGCCCATTCAAAAACGAGAAACAAATTCACCACGTGGTAGGAAAGTACAGAAACAAACCATTTCCAAGCCAGTCGAAAAGAAGTCCAAGAAAGAGAGAGGTAACATCGCCCAAGGGAGGAAAGCTTTGTTAAGTTCAGCCGATGGCTTGAAGCGTAAAGTGGCTGTACGCAATCCGGGACAAGACAATCCACCGACAGTTGTGAGCAAGATTGGACATAAACCGGACAGTGGCGCCAGACACAGCCAGGGTCACACTAAACATTCCGGTACGTTAAGCACGAAAATGTGCGCCGCATCGCTCAAACTGATAGCCAACGAGCATAAGAATTCGTCAGAGCGCAAGGTTCCCAATATTGCAGCTATAAATAAATCTCCAACGGTGAAGACAGAGGTACATGAAAATACGCTAGAAAGAGTAAATCCAGGCACTACAGGAAAAACTGCATCCCCAAAAGAGCAGATGGAGATACACGGAGATTCATTAGAATGTGCAAATAAAAACATGAAGATAAACAGTGCATCTCCAAAGGAGAAAGGTGTAACTAGTAAAATCATTAAAATAAACAGGGCATCTCCAAAAGAGGAAGATGTAACTAGCAAAATCAAGAAAGTTAACAGTGAGTCTCCAAAGGAGAAAGAGGTAACCAGTAGACATTCACCTAAAAGCATCAATCTGACCGCCGTACACCCTTCGTTTAAAAGCCCCCCTTCTCCTGTGTGGAATAAAGAACCAACACAAAAATGTCATATGAAAGAACCGACACAACCAAAAGGTACACCGTGTAGTGTGGGGGGACTGAAATTTGTCCTGAGGAAGTCAACTCTGGATGATGTTGTTGTTTCTTTGAAAAATGGAACCAGTTGCTCTAAAACCACGGAGGTTGAGACCAGCCCTTTCTTGCGTCCGAACACAGCAACAGAGCCTTCCACGTCACCCACAGACAAGCCGGCTCTTCCGACGCCACTCAAAGTTATCAAAATCCCATACCAAGATGAGCAATATTCAACAGCAGAGAACAAGGCAGTCGCTCCGTCATTGACAAGAGTAGAAAACGCTGATCCGAAAAAGGGTGACGCCTCTCTGATCATGTCTACAGACGCCAGGCCTTGCACTACGTTCGGTAGTGGTGCCACTTTTGAAATTCAAAGTTTTCAGAATGTTGGTAATGACGCAAGCAAAGCTTTGGGGGAACACGGTGTCAAATTCCAGGGTCTGAATTTTAGCACGCATCGGGGCTAACAAAGAATGGGGAAACAATCCTCAGCTCGTTTTGTCTGTTCCCTCCCCTTTAATTCATATCCAAATTACAGAATCGTTTTTGCTCCTCTCTCTCTCTCTCTCTCTCTCTCTCTCTCTCTCTCTCTCTCTCTCGCTCTCTCTCTCGCTCGCTCGCTCTTTCTCTCTTCCCCCCTCTCTCATATAAGTGTACATTCCAACTCACTCGTAACTCCTGGAACGCAGGCGAGTTGCTTATCTGCAGAGAAGTAGGCAGTATAAATTTATGTTATATTTATAATACTATTAATAGGTACCGATGTAACACAAAACTACACCAATTGAATTGCCATTCTAACAGGTCTGGGAATTATCTTTTATCTGATAATGGTATCTACTATGTGAGTTGTCGGAATACAATAATAATAAACATTGTAAGTAAACAGGAGTAAATACAAACTATATCCATTCACTCACCGTCCCTACTTGAAGACCCTGAGTGTAAAATCTTACACACAAACTTTGACTCCCCGCTCAACCGTTCCCCCTCCCACCTGGTTCTTACAGGAGGAACACAAACATGAAGTACAGTCATGTTTACCCCCGTTTTTTCTCCCCTCATCCTTTTTCTATTTTCTCTCAAACCTTTGGTTCATCATCATCCAGTGCCAGATCTCCATTCATTCCTTTGCTCGGATGCTAAAAAAAAAGCTACGTTTCCCTGATCTTCCCCTGTTACCTATTTATTTAGGTTCCCTAAGTAGGTTGTTCTGGGCCTTCCCCTGCCTCGCTTGCCCTCAATTTTGCCAGTGAGAGTTAGATGCTCAAGACTCTTATGTTTATTTATGTGTCCCAAAAACTGCATTTGTCGTTTCCTGATTGTTTTAACATTGAGCGTCCCACGTGGGCTTCATCAAGCCCTACCTCGTTTGACTTCTTTTCCTTCCACGATACTCGTAGCAGTCTCCTAAGAAACCACATTTCAGTTGCTTCTATAAAAACCTTTGGTTGCCCAACTTAAAAATCCTTCCCATACCCCTCCTGATTTCTCTTATTCTCAGTTAGGCCAACTCGGATGGTGTGCTCAGCATATTATCATGTGTAGCTGCGCTGTCTGAATAGTCTCCGTTACAGCTAGCCCAACAGTAAAGTCCTTGTCTAGTCCCATTTACCACGGTTGTCTCCCTTTTTATTCTTCCCGAATCAGCCCCCTCAACCTTTCCGACTTAAGTATCTAAATTTAATATGAACCTAATATCCAATGAGTGCTCATTATAGTAAGTTTCGTCAAACCGCTCCCCTAGCATTACAAAATTCTATCAGCTCTGTACTTAGATCTAGTTTTAAGAAACAAGGTGACGTTAAAAATTTTGAGTTTCACATTCATGTCAAGATTTTTCGAATGCAGTAATTCTTTGAATATTTTGATAACGACTCAGAATAATCAAGCGTTTTTTTATAGAGCAAATAAAACATTGATTTGGTTTCTGACCTCATGGTCTTAGTACCTCAAAGCGGCCAAAAGTGTCAGTTAGTTGAATTAGATCTTTGTAATTCTGAGGTAGCAAAATCTCAATTTGGTAGGGTCCGATACATTTGAGGAATGCCGCTGGCCACTAAACTCTATATTGAACTGACATCTGCTTTGCTTCATGAAAGGGTTAAATCCACAAACAATAGTTGTAGTAACTGTGTAGATATTATATTTGTTTACAGGAACAGATCTTCATCGTGATCATCTGCTGCTACTGCTAGCTACATCACAGAGTGACGTTACATCTAGAAAACAGTACGTGTATGTAGAAATAAATATATTCGAAAACATTGAATCTCAGAATACTCTATTCATTACCATATTGCTGTTCGTGTTTGCTTGTTTGTTTGAGGAAACTTTGCAATAATTCTGCATCATCTGACACGTTAATATTACATATTATACACAATAAGAGTCTCCCGAGATATGGTCACTCAAAAGTAACCTTGGAAAATATGAGTTGGCTAAATTGTGTAAAATCAACAGGAATTATACACGGTAACACCATAATCCCAGCGTGGTCGAAGACATAACCCCCACCTCCCTACCCCCGGGGCGGTGCCACTGACTGAAGTTTTTTTAAGCCATTCCCGAAGGGAGGACATTTCTCGTTCTTCTGCACGGTAGAATTGTAAATGGACTGATTCAACAACATCAAGATCATAACTGTGCCCGAACTACAACAGGGAACTGTTGCTTTTTCTTTCCTAATCCTTACTATTGTCATTTTCCTCTACTTCTTTTGTATATATTTGTCTTGTGACCCACTATTTCCGGGGTGCCTTGAAAGTCGAAACAGACTTTGCTTTGTGCAGTTGAAGCTAGAGAGGTGAGCAAAGTAAGCCCGATTCCTTGTCAAGACTTCTCTGTTGGCATCCACCCCTTGGCGCTCATATGATCTTATGTAGTTGCGAGCGCCGTAAAATCTATACTAAAAAAAAAAGACATAACTTAGTTTTTCAAAAAGAAATAGGCCACTGCATAACTTAAGGCTTTCACATATGTTGAACCTTTTTCCTCTTGATCCCACTTTCTCTCTACTTATTTGTTTTGTTTTAGTAGAGGTTTTATGGCGCTCACAACTGCATCAGGTCATATGAGCGCCAGAAGATTAGAGGTGTTAC